ACGAATGGATATGATTCTTAGTTATGTTATTTATGGGAATGTCGAGAATTTACCAAATAGGGAGAGTTTCTCATCGCCCAAAGTTTCAATTGGACTGAAATTTGGAATCACGCAACTTGGTTGCATGATGAATGAGAAATTTCATATTTGGAAATTAGACAAATTCATTGACAAAGTGTCAAGTGAAGGACTAGGAGATCGAGTACACAAAGTTGTGTGTTGATCAAGTTCACCATAAGAGTAACAAAGATATTCATCATGATTTACTATAGGTTTAGTAAATATGATTACACTTATCAGATTAAGTGTGATTCTGAATTGATTAAAAAGTTTAGATCAATAGTAGAACAAATAAGAAGAATCAAGTAGGCAGAAAGATAAGAGTTTCTCCACTCTAAGAAGAAGGGAGAGTAGCTTTTATGCTTTATGATAAGTCTTAATGATTAAGAACCATATCTCAATTGATCCTCTAAGTAAGTCTTAGTACAATCGTATGTTTAAGAAGAGGAATCAAGGATTGAAGAAATGGTTAAATCAAGAAGTTATCATACTTCGTTCCAATAACAAGTCTTAAAGTTAAGATTGTGGCAATGAGTGAAAAGTATTAAAGGTTTATAACATTCATAAATGTGGAAAGTTGTGATGTCTTGAATAAGACAAAGACCAACTTGGACCAATTTATGAAGTGTTTTGATAAAAGCTACACTAACTCTTGAATATTTGGTTGTCAACAAATGTTTATTGACAAGAGAATCTTATATGTCAAGGAGTCAGTGGGAGTCTTAATGGTCTTGAAAAGTTTCAAGAACAAATCAAATAAACCTTATCGATTATCACTAGCACACGAGTTGAGTTTTACAACCTATCGTGTTGACGATATTTTGATTCTGTGCTGTTCCAATTGAGTTAATTATGCATGTGAGTCCTATGAGTACTCATTTTGAATGCATAAAAGGCAAAGCACCTTGATCAATGAAAGGTACATTGATAGGAAAAGGGTGAGATGCTTAACTACTTGGAAGACGTGGTGGGCAGCTGTGCTACCATAAGGCAAGAAATCAAGATTAAAAAAGGCTCAGTCCATATGAGTTTGAATTTTCGTAAACTTTGGTTTTAACAAATTCACATGGATAGGAACAAACACACCATTTAAATCTAAGTGTCATAAGATTTCCTCCTTCATGAAAATGATTGTGAGGAAATGCTTTCACTAAGAAAGATTTTAAGAAGATAGTGATTGTAAAATTGCATTCTCGAATTCGATCATGGTTACGGTATCCCTTTCCATAATTTGAATTGTGAGGTTTGGCAATTAGTCTTAATTGTTGAGACACACATATGAACTATCTAAAGGCAAAGGTTTATAAGTTCAAGAAGCCTTGATAAAAGATTATCAAAGCACTAAGTATTAGAAACATGGACTTAAGAAATTCAATAGGTATTGTCTCTCTGAAAGTTAAGATGTTTATGAATACATGTCGAAGCTAGTGGGAGCATAAGTGTTATGTTTTATAGTAATCATCATGATAGTGGGAGCATAAAAGTTATGATTGTATGATTATTATAGAAAGTATTGCAAGTTGGCAATATTAATTATAGAAAAACAAGAGTTATACCTTGCAAAGTCGTAAGGGTTGTAAAGTTGTTTTGCTATAATTAAGGGAGAGAATATTATGCTTCATTTCAAATCTAAAGGATTAGGTTGAGAAATGTTAACAAACTTAGTTAAGGGTACATAGTGTGTTCTTAAAATTTCGATTATGATTACGGAATTCCTCTTCACAATTCGAAGTTTGAGAACATAGGAAATAAAACATTGTGCATCGTGTCCTATACGCTTCGGGTATAGGATCGATTGCAAATGCTTTAATGTTTGACCATTCTAAAATTTTCCAAATGTCTAGCGCATTTAGAGGGAAAAGGGACTAGAATTGGTTTTGACTAAAATAATTAAACAACTATCAAAGGACAATCCAAAGTTCGACGAGGATTGGTCGCTTGTGAGTAGTTGGAAGTATAGTATTGGAAGATATGGAAATGTTCTCATATTGGATGGACCATATCGACATCATTACGAATAGATAAGATTCTATTAAGAATGAGTTGTCATATGGAAAATATGGAAGCGTGTCCATATTGGGAATTGAATATTAAAAAATCTATGACTAGATTAGAAACTTTTATGCAAAAGGATGTTCAAAGGAATGTACTTTGAGTGAGAGACATCATATCTAAGGAATTGTCTTGTAACAATCTCCGATAGAAGACTTTGTAATATCATTGGCAATAGTCTTTGTGACTTTGGTGCAGTGACATTACGAAAGGATCGTTGCATAAAGTGTTAGAATCTAGCATATTCTATAAGTAGCAAGAATTTGATATTCTTACACTTGTGAAAAAGGATTTGGAGTTGTAAAATGAGAATGATTGGAAATGTGTGCAATTTGTCTATTCCACAAAAGTAAGAACCATAGGTAAACATTGTGTGCATGCTAGGAGCATGGGACAAGTGTAATAATTCAAGTAAGAAGTTGATTACCCGAAACGACAAATAATGAGTAATCGATATGGTGATAAATAAAAGGAGTTTTATTTATACTCAAAGGGTTGAGGCCATATGGGATTAGTATTATTCTTGTGTTTCACTTTGCATGTTTTGACTTCCAGAATAATTGAGTTTATTAAGAATAATCGAATTATTCAAACGGGCCACATTCGTTCATATGTTGGAAGTAGATATGAATGAAGACTATCGTGAATTGGTGGGTGGATTGTCTAAAAGAGTATTAGACACAAGCAAATGTTTGTTGCAACATTCATGAGTGCTTATGAATATGAATTTGAGCATTGGATTAAACCCACGCTCACTTGGATCACTCCATTAATTGTATCACGAGTGATTGGTGAGACGATAACATCTTATATTCTTGAAACCGAGATGTGTGAGTTGTATCTTGCTAATCGATTGCACATTGATAATATGTAAACGCACTAGTAACTTGGTGTTATAAAACATATTATTGTGTGTAATTTGGTTAGTGAGTGCAAGCGAGAATTGTATCAAAGTTTATCCGTTCCTTTTATCCAATGAAGGATAAAAGCGATATCTTTGGGCCCCTCGATGGTTTAGTGATGACAAACGTAAATGCTCGGCCGGGCTAGGGCTAATTTGATTCGTTCAATTAGTCTGTCGTCATAAATCGGAAATCGAGAAGTAGTACAAAGAGAATGATTTAAAATCATATCTCATACGATATCTAGAATGGAGGAATATATGATCCCTTATCTAAGGACACGCGTATCTGATAGGATCAGAGTTGACAGCGGCTTTGGAAAGCTACGATTGCAGATCAGGATCTGAAGTCATACGCAAAATAGTTATTAGACTTATCCAAGTGGGAGACTGTTGGATTAGTGTCTAAGTCCATAACTATTTTGGTATGTACTTGACCCGATGGTGCATGGTCCTTTTGGGTTGCCTTCACCAAAGCAACTTGATTGGAGAAATAAATAAAGAGAGAGAGGTTATTATGATTTATTAATATGTTATAAGAATAATATATTAAAGGAGAAATCATATTTGCTTAATTAATATTGGTCAATAATTAATTAGGAATTAATTTTGTGATCAAGTGTAATTAATTAAACTAGAGGATAATGACTGAAACACTATCTCTACACCTATATAAAGACCCTAAGGCCTTATAATTCATGTACTTTTCCCCAAGAAGTCCTAAGGACGAATTCTAATCTCTCTCCTCTCTCTCTCTCTCTCTCTCTCTCTTTATACCTTCTCCATTTGCTCTTGGTGTTTGTAAGCCATTAGAGGGGTGACACTTGTGACTCTAAGCATTCCAAAGTTAATTTAAGGTGGAATTAGGATTGTTATTGCTATATAACAATCAAGGTATGTTCTTAAACCCATTCATATGTTAATATCGATTTCATATACTAGAATTAGGGTTTATAGTCTTGGATTCAAAGCATGTACAATAGAGAAACCTAGATCCAAGCATTAGGGTTTGTATGAGCACATAGGATGTCTTATGACCAAAACCCATCAATATTTCCATTATCCAATGAACACAACACCAAGAGGATCATAAAAAATATCCATCTTCATAATCTTTTATGCTTATTTTTCATTTTAGCAATGCTTGAGGAACTTTCGATCTTCTTTTGAAACGAGTAGAGAGATTGATTTACGTTAAAGCTAGATCAGCAAAATAAGCATCTTGAAAAGTCTTGAGATGCCCATATTTAAGAACATAGGTAGTTTTGTCTTGAATATCAGTGTTTTTAAGATCACCCAACAATAATGTAGTCGAAACAAGATCATTCACGCTCATGAGTGGAAAATATGTAATTATGAATTCAAATGACATATTGTTTGCATAAACCACCTTGTTCGCATTCCTCCTAGCACTTTCCTAATAGTGCATTAAATCGTATCTTCATCTTTTTGAATTCTTCCTATTCCTAGTAATTCTTAGCATGTTTAAACTGTGAAAAAAAAGAGTAATTAACTAGTAAATATAGTTTATTAAACTCTATATTCTTAGTTGCATAAATTTTCCTTGGCTTAACCATCAAGTCTTCATCTTCACCGAATGTTGAACTTTCAATCAATTCGTAGTTCCATACTTTAATTGGATAACCTTTGGTAAGACCATTTGGATAATCTTTTCTCTACCTCATAATGTTATTCCACTACCTCATCTTCTCCAACTCAATATCTTGAAACCTTTTCTTTTCTTCAACTGAGGACTTGACTTGAACACCCTTCCCTCTATCTTTGGGATCAACGGTTGATGTAGTCTTAATAACGGTTGAAATTGAACCTCTTTCTCAAATACTTATCCCTTTCTTTTACAACCTGGATAAGTTAACATTGACATTTGGATCATCTGTTGTTGTTGTTGTTGTTGTTGTAGAAGTTGTCACCATAGGTTTCTTTGGTAGTGAAGTGGGAATTTCAGTAGACATGACTCTTCCCACAATTACGCTTTTATCTTCACCGGTTCCTTTTGACGAACCGAACCCCCTTTCTCCCCATTGCGACACAATTGTAGAACGTGGAGCATTGGTTGGTAGGCGAAGTACCAAATCAAGTATATGTGCCAATTCATACTTAAAACTTGATTCAACAGAGGAAACCATTGCAGAGACAGATTGTTGAGAAAGCAAAGATTATGAAGGAAGATTAAATTTTGAGAGAGTCTCTTAAATTCAGTAAGATTCTTCTCAATTTTATCAAACATTTTCCCATCTCCTTCATTCTTTAATTTCAAATCTCTAGAGTAATCTTTATTGAAAGTAGTAAGGTCCTCTACCAAACAAGTCATAGTTCCCATCAACACATTAACCTTTTGAGTAATAGAATCACAAAATTTATCTAGTTTCTAAACCTCTTTTGAAAATAATTCACTAAAATCCTTTACCTTCAATTCAATAGAATCCTTGGAACCAATCACCATATTCTCAAATATCACATGACGCTCACAAGTAGCATCTTGTAATTTCATAAGTTTAGAATCAAAACTATGAGAATAAGTTGCCAACCTTTCATCAATACATTTATCAACATCTTCAATAAAAGTCCTTGTGCGAGACTCTTGAGACTATAAAAAGTATTTGACCTCAACCCCAATAACATATGACTTCCCAGAACTATCATTAAAAATTAGAAGAGTAGAATTCATTTTAGAATTAAGAATCATGCACTGTTTATCAATTATGATGGAATTATCAGGAACATCATCTTCCTCCAGTTTAAACTCCAGTGCATTAAAACTAACCATGAAATCATCTTCATATTCGTTATCATGAACGGTGACCTCAGGTTCTGTTGATTGCGATGAAAAAAAGATGTAATATGCTCTTGCATCACTTCTTGAAAAGTTGGAGAAATCCCAGGAATAGAAGTGGGAATGAGCATAGAAGTAACTAGTGGTGATGAAGGTGGTGGAATGGCTGTAGTATTAATGCTTATTGTAAAACTCCCATCACCCATATTAACATTTATGACCTCATTAGATAAGTTTGCATTGATTTTTGATGTTTCTTCCTCCTCCATATTGGTCTTGGAATATGAAACCGTGGGTGGTGTGACAGTTGTCTTCTTTGGGGATTGAAGTGTTTAATTGCTCACCAGAAGTGATGTGTACCATATGAGATATGTTTGTATTGGCATCCGGAATACTTGTCTCCTCGAAAGTCGATTTAACAGAGGTATCCTTCCCAGGTGAAAAAAATCGAAATCATCCAATGCATCCTCTATAGCTTCGATATCATAATTTTTTTCAATCATAACATTCGTCATCTGTGTTTCAACCGGAGAAGACTAAAACTTCTTCAATCTTGTACAACTTCTATCTCTTTTTGCTTCTTTGTATCGGGAGAATAAGGAGTTGAAACACCTTTAATATTGACCCCTCGCTTTGTCACCTTCAACTGTATCTTCTTCGACTTTATAGGGACAACCTCTTGAGTAGTATTTTTAGCTTTTGGAGTAGGTACCTCCTAAGTAACCATTTAAGGTATCTTCTCTAGATGCTTCTTAGAACCAACACTTGTAGATTTCTCAGGAACAACTTTATTTGTTTTCTTAAGAATCTGGTTCATGACTTCGTAAACACAGTTTTCTTAGACACCTCCTCCTCAACTTCTTTAGGTTTCACAATTTGCTTCTTTGTCTTCTTACCCTTAGCTTCCTTGGAAGATCCCTCTGCAGCTTCAAAAGTAACCTTCACAGGAAGAATACTAGTAGGAGTTGGATCAATAGAAGCTTTGTATTTAATCAAAAGCTTATTCATAGGACACACCAAGTTAAGCATTGCGTCTAGAATTCAACCAACCACAAGAAAGACAACTAGATCAACTAAGGAAGATTTATGAATTGTCGTATGAGCAAATACGGTGACATCATCATGGATAGGTAATGGGATACCTTCTTGAGTATAAGCCTCATGTAAAACCAAACTCATAAAATGAGTACTAGATACTTCAGTAGTCATCTTCGAATGAGAAACAGAGTTACTGAACTTAGCCTAGAGCAATAAGGCATAATCCACATTAAGGCTGTAATACCAGCATTGAGATTTCCAATGACTTCACTTGAAGGATGTTCCTTTGTCTAGATGTGTAATCTCGTAAGCTCTTGTGCAGCAGATGATCCGACATCAACAGTATGGTTGTGTTGCTCCCCCTAAACAATGTGAATTTGAGGATGATGCTCCCACTAAACATCTGAATTGGATATATCTACGTTGTCATTATTTAGAATGTCAAAGTTTAAATTCAACAAATTGATCTATTGCATCTTGAAATCCATCCACATTTGATTCGAGAGAGGGATGCCTATTCTCCCTCTCAACCTAAAAATGTTGAAATGAATCGGAATCAAATTGATGAAAAGTATGTGTTGGACCAGAAACATTTTGAGAGATTGGAGTTGTAGTCGATGAGGACAGTCTTAATCGAGATTCAGAGTCAAAAGCAGTTTCTGAAGGTCTGAGCAGGCTTTCGAAGTCAACTTCATAGATGATTTGGGAATTCGGAGATCATGGGGATGGAGCATCGGACTCCATGACGTGGGTTGTGACATGGGTTAGGCCAAAATTCCGAACATAGTTGTCATCAAAAGTGACATCAAAGCTTTCTTAAATTACACAAGTTTGATGATTCAGAACTCTATAGGCTTTGTGTTTTGCTAAGTAACCCAAAAAGATTACTTCATCGGCTTTGGGTTGAAACTTGGTGAGTTAATCACGGTTATTTTTGATAAAGCATCTGCAGCCGAAAACATGTAGGAACAAGTTGGCTTGCGACCATTCATGGCTTCATATGGTGTCATGTTGAGATGTCGATTAATGATGCTTTGGTTTTGGGTGAAGCAAGCAGTGGATACAACTTTAGCCCATAGATAGAGTGGAATATTAGCAAAGTTGAGCATTGATCAAGCGACATCAACAAGATTTCAGTTTCTTCTTTCAACCATACTGTTTTGTTGAGGAGTGTAGGGAGTAGAGAAATTGTGGTTGATGCCTTTTCGAAGAGGAATTTCTCAATGGTGACATTGGTGAATTCCAAACCATTGTCTTTTCGTATTCTTCTGAATGGAAGTTTAACAAGAACTTCAATTCCTTTGATGAAATTAATAATTTCCGAGGCTCTTTGCAGATTTTAGCCTAAGGAAGAAGACCCAAGTGAACCTTGTGTACTCATCAACAATCACAACAATGTACTATTTGTGATGTAGACTTTCTACCATGGAGGGTCCACAAAGATCAATATGCAGAAGTTCTAATGGTTTCAAAATTGACTTTTTCAATGATAATGGGATGACCTTTCTTGGATTGGTTCCCAAGTTCAGATTCAACACAGAGATGATCGTTTTTGAATATGAGGAGTGGCAGACATCAGACCATTTCACCAGAAACAAGATCATTCATATATCGGAAGTTTAGATGAGCAAGCCACTGATTCCATAACCAACTAACGTCAGGAACGGTCTTTGGAGAAGACAGAGTTGAGGTTTGCCAATGATCATGTTGATGTCTAGTGGATATATGTTTTTGTTGCAATTAGATTTGATTGGACATTATTTCCGATCTTCTATTATGACGCAACTTTGCTTTTTGTAGAGCTCAACTCTTTGGTGTAACAGCCGGATTTTATCAGGTATCTTGTTTATTGTATTTTGTTGATTTGTGGGGGGGACTCGGTGAGTTACAGCTCAGACTCGCCGAGTAGAGACGCGGATCTGGACGCGGGATCGCGCCTGGACTCGACGAGTCCAGGATAAGGACTCGACGAGTCAGCGCTGTGTAATGAAACCCTAATTTCTCGGGTTTCAGACTTATTTAAAGGGCCTAATGGCCGTCATTTGTGCTCACCAGCCCCTTGAGTGAAACCCTAATCGAGTGTGAGCATTTGGAGCTAAGTAGGAGGCCATTATTGACCTTGGAGGTGCCATTGTTGCAAGGAAGGAGAAGAGCTAGCCAACGGAAAGCAAGAGGAGCCACTTCTGTGGGTTTGGAGTCCGGAGCATCACTTTTGAGGTAATAAATCCGAGTTACCTTCTTCCTTGTTGTTGTCTACCTAGATTTAGGGTTTGTTGAACCCTTTTATGCCAAGATTTAGTGTCCTCTTGGCCCCTCATGAGGTTTGAACCATGGATCTGGACCCTTAGAGGTCCAGAGTGTCCCTTTACCCAAGCTTTTTGGGAATCAATGGAGGCTTTGGATTGGAATCCTCATGCCTTAGGTCAAAAACTCCATTTAGGAGCTATAGGGTGTGTTATGAGCACCAAGATAGGAGCTTTACGTGATGAATCAGTCGAGGGAGGCCTGATCTATAGTTTTTGGAAACAGATCTGACCTTAGAAGCAAGTTGGAGTGGTTGCATGGCATGGACTCGCCGAGTCTGTTCATCCGACTCGGCGAGTAGCTTGAAGATTGCCTTGGGACTGCTCAGCGAGTGGTGCAAATCGAGTCATGGGTAGACTCAGTGAGTCAGGGTGAGTTGGAGAGGGATGACGAGTGGACTGAGTCAAACTTGGACTCGCCGAGTTGTCCTTGAGACTCGGTGAGTTGAGTCGGGGTGGCCCCGCGATTCATTCAGGTGAAACTCGTCGAGGAAAGGGGGGAATACTCGACGTGTAGTAAGAGGATTTCAGAGGGTTGGTGAAAACGTCTAGACTCGCCGAGTCGCCATGGTACTCGCCGAGTCCGGTCAGAGTTGACTGCTGACCGTTGACCGTTGACCGTTGACCAGAGTTGACCTGTGATTGACTTTTTATGGATAGTCAACCTTAGAGATATAAACTGTTAATTAGAAACATATAATGTTATAGGACGATTAGAGCTCGGAGGATCGAGCACGAGGGATTTCCAGGATTCGTGAGGTACCGAGACACGCGAGGTGAGTCTTCTCACTATACTATATTACCTCGAGTAGGTAACCAGAGTTATGTGATTGAGTATTTGTATGCTATGTATGTTATGTGTTGTACTGCATTATTTCTATGTGATTTATGTAGTGCATGTTTATCAGAGCTAGAACCTGAGGGTTCACAGAGTTTGGGTGCACGGACCCACAGAGTTATAGCCTTGAGTGGCTAATATGTGTATATTTGGTATTTTGGGGAACTCACTAAGCCTTGTGCTTACAGTGTTTGATGTTATTGTTTCAGGTACTAGTGACGACCGCGGGAAGGCGCCGGCTTGATCCGTACACACACACTCGGAGTTTTTACATTGTGATCTTGGGATTTTGTATTAACCTATATTGGATAATTAATATGGTTGTTTGATGAATATTAATCGAATTATGTTTTATAAGAAAATTGAAAAATTTGTTTTGAAATTTACAGTGTTACAATTTGGTATCAGAGCCTTGGTTTGAGGGATTCGGGTACACCTTCAGGAGTATTTGAACTCAAACTGAGGAATTGGAAAGATACTTTCAAAAGAAAACCTAACTTTTCTAAGAGTAAAAGATTTTCTTGAAAAAGAAACAAATTCCAGGAAGAAATGTGTGTACGATCAGTCAGCGCCCGAACGGTGAATTCCCAAAATACCTTTATATTACGTGATATTAATATTGATATGATGTATCTGCATGCTAGAGTAGGTTAGGTATTGCTAATAGGACTAGAGTGGCCTGATTTGTGATGCCTTAGTCTAGGGAGGGGTGAGCTGCTATGAGATGCTGAGAGTGAGTAGGTAGCAGCAAGGGGTTTATGAGAGATCTATTAGAGAGTGGTCTACACATGATAGAGTACTTGGGAATTAGGATCCGAAGAGGAAGGTTTGGGGTGTGTACTGAGACAGTGTGAACAGTAGTATTGGGCCCGTACTACTGAAAGCACCGGGGCAGTACACAGTCCAAATAAGAATCTTGGGATACCAAGAATCAAGGAGGGGTGGATTGTCGAGTGTAAGAATGTTCGAGTGAATTCTAATTTATCACATGTTGTATTTCAGAGGTTGATCATGGTGAGGACACGTCATATGCCGGAGGGTGCCGGAGCTAGTGATGAGGAGATTCGACAGATCATTCATGAGGAGGTGG